CACATTATTCTTTAGTGAATTTGACATTGAATCCTTGATCACATAGCTGACTGATACTAATAAGGTTTGCAGTCAGTCCTTTCACCAACAAAACATTATCTAGATCTGGAACTCCAGGACAATCTAGTTTTCCAAAACCTTTGATTTCCCCTTTAGCTCCATCACCAAAGGTCACATAACTTGTGGAATGAGGTTTGATGTCCACCAATAGGTTCTTTATTCCAGTCATATATTTTGAACAGCCACTATCAAAATACCAGTCTTCTTTGGCTGATACCCTTAGAGAGGTATGAGCTATTAGAGCAACATCCTTAGCAACCCATTATTGTTTCTTGATAGAAGCATCCAGTTTGGGTTTGACCTGATGAGTAGTGTTGGGGAACCCATGCAGTCTGAAGCAAAAAGGCTTTATGTGACCAAATCTTCCATAGTAGTGACACCTCCACCTTTGGAAATTTCTCTTTGTCTGGTTCATGTTTCTCTTCCCATGATGTTATGACATTGGTCTTGACATCCGGTTTGCCCTATGATTCTCAGGTTTATAACTCTTGATCTCCAAGATGGGTCCTTTTTCACCAACAAAACCTATTCCAGACTTGTCTCTCGCTTTCTGACCAACTTGTAGAATTTTTTCTAAAGTGTCAGTCCCATTGTTTGACATCCTGATAGATTTTGACATATGATCAAGTTTGGAATTCAACAAACTGACCTTACTGTTGAGTGAGTCTATGGTTGCAAGATGCTCTTTCTTCTCAGCCTCCAACTCCTTTATGAGTTTCTTTTGCTTCTCCCTTTGTTGGCACACTTCTGCACTTCTGATACACAACTTTTTGTGTGTGGGACATTCGGCTCTAATGTGACCATAGCCTTCACATTCATGGCACTGAATACCTTTGCCTTGGTTGGACTTTTCTTCAGATTTACCCCTTCTGCTAATGTCAGAGGAGATGTTCATGACATTAGGTCTGGTCTTCTGATCTATTCTTTTTATAAGTCTGTTGAATTGTCTTCCAAGCATGGCTATAGCTTCTAATAGATTTTCCTCACTTCCACCATTGCTTTCATCTGAGTCCTCTGCAGTATTTGATACAAAAGCTATGCTTTTGTTCTTCTTTTCAGTATTTTTACACATTCCCATCTTAAAGGTTTGGAAAGAACCAATGAGTTTATCAACCTTCATGTTGTTGATATCTTGAGCCTCTTCTATAGCAGTAACCTTCATGGCAAATCTCTTGGGTAATGATCTGAGAATCTTCCTTACAAGTTTTTCTTCAGACATTTTTTCTCCTAAAGTTTTTCTGCTATCTTGGTTTCCTTGCCAATATTATTGTGTCTTACTCTTCACTTGTTTTGTGCCTAATTCCTACACAATAGTACACAAATCAAAGCAACCAAGGCATTTTCAAGGAATGAAGCATATCATCCGAAACATAAGTGATTCTAATCAATTTATCCACAAAAATAATGAAAGATGCCAACATTTGATAGAGAAATAAAACAATGTTTGGCATCTAACAGTAATCGAAAATTCAAATGTCCAAACCTTAACTGTCACAACCAACTATTCTTGTGGTCGACGACAGTTTTTAGACATTGTACTTCAGTCGAATTGATCATGGTCTTGAATGTCCTATTATTTGACAAAGGAGATTTCAAGACCAAATTATTATGACCGTCAGACAACTCCAATGCTCCACTTTCATAATCACTGAGAAACCTTTTTCAACCAGTTGTCCAACACTTAGTAGACTGCAATTCATTCTAGGTACATAGAGTACATCTTTGATCATAGTTTTTCCTCCATTACTTCTTTGAATAACTATGTTGCCAGTACCTTCTGGTTGCAACGAGCTATTATTAGCAAGTTTGATCTTTCTCTTCTTTGACGAGTCAAAATCTGCTAACCATATTTTTTTGACCAGTTATGTGATTCGAGCAGCCTGAGTCGAGGAACCAGATCTTTGAATCGACATGGTCATCTGCAACTACAACCATAACCACCATTTCTTCAAAATCATCTAAATCTTGGCGTGCAATGTTTTCTCCTTCCTCCTTGCCTTTTGTCAATCCCTTGTCATTATTGTACCAACAATGTTTGGTCAAGTGATCCCACTTTTCACAATTATAACAATGATAACTTTTTTTTCTCTGTCTTTCTGATAGGAGTTAAATTTTTCTCTTTTGAGGATTTAGAAGCCCTATCACCGACCTTATGCTTTTGAGATTTCAACCAAGACTTCTTGCTCTGAGTTTTGTCTCATCTGCCTTTGAATTTGTTCAAACCACCATGCTTCTTATAAACCTGAGCCTGCAGTGCTTGTATTGAATCTTGAACCCCTTTCCTTTCGACAATCCTAATCTCATGCGCTTCTAACGAACCAACCAAATATTCCAGTTTTAGGGTTTCAAGATTGTTGGATTATTGAATAGGCACAATAACGTGATCAAAGTGAGAGGTCAACGTACACATTACCTTCTCAACTATCATTTTAACAATTAGGGTTTCACCATAATCCTTCATGAGATGGAAGGGATTCTGCACCTTCAACACATAACATGCAATCTTTTCATCTTCTCCCATATGTAGCAATTCATATTGCAGTCGCAAAGTCTGCAATTTGACGACTTTGACTTTCTCACCTCTTTCATAGTACTTGACAAGAATATCCCATGCCTCCTTTGCCGATTCAGCATGAGAGATCTTGTCTAAATTCTCCGAATATACTGTTGATTGATGCAATATGCGACCTAGGAATCTTTTTTCTTCGCTTCCTTGTTTGCGACTCTCTGAGCATCATTTGCATTTTCAGTAAGCTCAGGGACGCCATTAGTAACCACTTCTAAGGTTTTATAAAAGCCAAACAGAGATTGCATCTGTTTTCTCCATCAGATCCAATTATCGCCATCAAGAATTGAAAGATAATTCAGAATGTCATTAGTACCATTCATCTTTGCAGCGATTGATTAACAACCCACGATCCCGAAAACACGATCAGCGACATGTGATTCTTGAAAATACAATTAAGAACCTAACCAAAACTCTAGATTACCAATTTTTTAATGTGTGAAACACTTTTAGTAAAATAAAAAAATAAGAGAGAAAATGAAAATAAAATTTAATATTATTGATTACCATGTTACAAAACTGAATTGTAAAATATCTATTTATATACACCTAAATGACATAACTACTTAATAACAAATATAATGACAAATTTTGAATTTTAATTAACTTTAAACTTATGTCACACAACTTAAATTATATTATATCTCATTCAGTATTTTCGAAAGTTACAAAATAAATAATATAATGACATATGACCTACTACTTACGGTTCATTAAAATTCAGAAAAAGTAAGTCCTGTCCTCTAATATTTTTGATGGAAAATAGACACCCCTGGCCCCTACCTAAACTCTAATAAAACATTCCAATTGTAATCTAGCATTCTTTCCATTTCTCTTTCAACACAACTATTCCTGTCCCTAATTATAAATTATTTGGTAAATTTATATAAATTATACTATTACATGAAAAAATTGCTTTACAAACTTAATCTTTATTTATAAATAAAAAAAATTAATATCACATGAAAAAATTGTAATAAAAATAATATCTATTAATAAATAAAATAAATAATTTAAAATAACTAAAAATATAATAAATTGTATAATAAGGAAATAAACAATAGTATTTAATTTTAAGAATCAAATACGTTGAACATGTATAAAACTTAAGATATCTACACCTTAAATCAATCTAACTATTAAATTTTAAAGTTGATTTGATAAAACCTATAAAAGTTCATATAAATTGAAAAATGGTATAACAAACTATCTAACATTTTTTTAAATTATGAGACTAAAATGAATCCAAAAATTATATCTAAAGTCTAAATTTTATTAATACTATAAATCAATTTATAATTTGAGAAAAACAAATAACAAATATTTGTTTTGTCCTAATCCTCCACCTTCCGATCTCATAGAAAGGGACATTGATAACTTTATTATTCGGCAAGAAATAAATGAAATTTTTTATCAATGCTTGCCAAGTCATAGTATCTTGAATTTAGATTCTTCGAAAAATCGGTATAAGAAGTTAATACTTTGATTTAACACATAAATTCTTTGGTAACGCCTCTTATGCATTAATTCCTTCTACGAGAACATGCTTGTATCACTTGAAAGCAATTTTCGCCTACTTAATAAATGAACAAGATCTATCGGTGCATTTATTATACTATCTAAGTTATTTAAATTTTTCCTCTCGTTTTTTTCTTCTAAATATTATCACAGACATGCAAACAATATAATCACGGATGGTCCTGTTCTTTTGTTTTTTAGTAACACTTTGAATTCGTTACAGCAGTAAAGAAACACCTTTTCCAAAACTACAAGCCAACGGTTAGAACTTCTCAGTTATTGCCTATTCAATATTGCAAGATATAATCCAAACACAATTCTCATAAAACTATAAGCCAGTGTGTGTTGATTAATTTATTTTAGTTAGGTTATGCACAAAGTAATAAAAAGTTCCGACGACTGTGACAATACGTTGTCAGAAAATGTCGATATCGATATTATTGTTTATTATTTTTATAATAAAGAATAAATTGTATCACTCTCACAATATATCTGCATCGACTGAAATTGCAAAAATTTTTACGCGGCTGCGCGGCTGTTATTTAAAACCTTGGTTATTGGTTATGCATGTTGAACTATTGCAGATTAGGTACCTCCCATTGTACTAAAAAAAAGATTAGGTACCTCCTCGTCACATGAAGATACACACTTTACGTACGTAACTTGAGTACAGTTGTGGACATCAACTACTAATAACAACTCTAGCCAACTTTAGGACCCCTACAATTAATATGAATATGTCTCAAGCTATCAATATATATTTCTTAGAACTACCAATCTTCTCTTCAAAATTCTCTAACTTTCATCATATCTTTCATCTACATTGTTCTTTCTTTCTTTCACATAGTTCTTCAATATGAAGTTTTTTCATGTTATCACGTCACTATTCTTTGCATTAACTCTTGCTAGAATTGACCCTTCTGCATGCCAAGTTGTAAAGGGCAAGGTCACTTGCATTGATTGCACTCAGGACTATGATTTCTCTGGTTTGTTTCAATTTTCATCTCATTATGTATATTTATTCTAATGACTCTAAGACAACGCAAGAAAACTTGCAAATAACTATTTTCCTTGGTTTCAGGAATTCAGGTCTCTATGAAGTGTGAAGATATGAAAAACATGGCTATGGCAACTACAGAACATGATGGCTCCTTCATGGTTGATCTTTCCACATACCATACAAAACCTGCTTCTGATAATTGCCATGTAAAACTCCTTGGTGGACCAAGTAACCTTTATGCTTCAAGGAAAAACCAATTCTCACAAATTGTGAAGGACAAAGAGGAAAACAGCTACACAACTTCCACTCCTCTAAGTTTCTTCACTTCTTGTCCCAAAAACACAGAATGCAAAGATGAGAATAATCAGTTTGGCTCTTCCAAAACCTATAATTTTCCTATGCCTTCACAGTGGGGCTTGGCACCAACTAGCTATTATCTTCCTTTCTTCCCTATCATTGGAATACCATGATTATATATATGTTGCATTAAGCACACTTTTATTATATGGTTTTGTTGTCCCTGGAAGAATGGAAGACGTTGTTGTGATGGTTAAAATAAATTAATGTATGTTTGAGATGTTTGTGAAGAAAGTTCGTTTTTTATTTTATTTTATTGTTTTGTTGCTAAGCAAGTTATTCAATGTCTTAGGTTGGAAAAGCAGAAAGTTGCAACGTACTGTTATGTCCAATGTTTATGATATGTAAAAGCACTATTCTGAGCATTATGGAATGACTTGAGTTAAACCATGTCCTTTTCTTTTTCCTCAAATTAATCCAACTAATACGGTATAAAAGATCATAGAAAAGGAGTTATTTAACCACTTTTAAATATTTTTTATTTTATCCATTTAAAAATAATAATAATTTGTTATGGGTTGGCCCGACGGCCAATAAGACCGGCCCAACAACGTGGTTGAATATATATAAAATATTTGAGAATTTTTTAACCCTTGATACCTTTAGGTATTTTGCAAAATTTCTTTTATATCCTATGTTTTCGGAGATACACATCCGGACGTACCATTTTTTTCTTTATGCTGGATGTTTCCGGATATCCCCTGCTTCTGGAGATACACATCCGAACGAACTATTTTTTTTCTTTACGCTGGGTGTTTCCGAAGAGACATCTACGGAAAAAGTTCTGTAAATACATCTCCAAAATTTTATCAGAACAAGTTTTAAAAAAAAATCAAGTTTCGTTGATTGCAAATGAATATAAAATAGCATACATCCGTAAATAAAATTATATATATATATATATATATATATATATATATATATATATATATATATATATATATATATATATATATATATATATATATATATATATATATATATATCAAGAAAATAAAATAGTACATAAATGAATCCGACGGCAATTCATGTATCCGCAAATGAATATAAAATTATATAAAATAGTACATAAATGTCATCTATATATATATATATATATATATATATATATATATATATATATATATATATATATATATATATATATATATATATATATATATATATATATATATATATATATATATATATATATATATATATATATATATATATATATATATATATATATATATATATATATATATATATATATATATATATCAAAAAATACATCACAATCACTATTGTGTGTGCCTGAAAACATCTACATCCCTTCCCCTGTCTATGCCTCTGCCGCCTCGTCTGTCTTTGTCGCCTCCTCGAACGCCCGGTCTACGTCCTTAGCCATCGATCCCACCCGTCCTGATGCAATGTCTGCGATACATAAGTGCCCCATGTGCCACCTCAATGATATCATCCAATACACACCTGTGGTCAAACCCCTCAGGAAAGAAACCGACGGCAATTCATGTCCGCCCCATCTCCACTATCTGACGACAGCGAGGCAGGACATTCTGAGTGTGGTCCAACTGAGACTACTGCTCCTCTAAGATCTCCTGATGAGCTGGTCTGGAAGGTGATTGTAACACCCCATTCTAACCCAACAGATAAACAAGAAAATAACTATCAGAGTGCACGAAAAAGGGCCACATGATGGTCGTAATGGAACTGTCACGACCGTGGTGGTCATGACGACCGTCATGGATGTCACGACCGTGACGGTCATGACGAGCATTATGGAGTGGTGACGACGTCACACTCACAAATTCTGGGACGCATCAGAGGTGTCACATTTTCACCTTAACAGATAACACACACATGCAACAAAACATTTAATAACATACAAGTTGCGGTGGAAATAGGATCACAAACTATTAATGAGTTTGAATCGCAATTCAATTCACAACCGCTCTTTGATTTATCCGAAGGAAAAGGTCAAAAGAGGGAAAACCTATTTTGCATCGTAAACACAATGCGGGGAAAGATCTAGGGTTCGGGGGTTGGTTAAATTTAGGGAAGGTATTAGCACCCTAAACTTCTGTAGTACTCTACAGGAACCTTTTGTTCAGATGTTTACTATTTGCTTTATTTATTTGCTTAAGGTATATGTACAAAGGATTAAAAGTGAGAAAGAAGACCTAAGGGGTTAATTCTAAGTTTACTCGGCAAGACATCGCATCTTGTGCCTACGTATCCTTACGGGAATGGAATCAGAGTAATCGTAGTTCCCCTCAAAAGGGAGGTTAGAAACGTCTTGACTGTGGCCAAGGTTTCAATGGGGAATAAACGTATCTTAGGGACACGCTTACATGGAGTGTAGAAACTCCAAATCTCTACGTTGAATTGTTAAGTTGTAATTAGGGTTAGGTTAGGTTAGGGATTCCGCGGCGGGAAACCCTAAAATGAGCGCGGCGGCTCTTTGACCTAATGCTAGGGGTAAAATTGTAATCTTGTCCACAGCGAGACATGTATGAAAATTTAGGGTTGAAAAGGTGTAAGGGTTTGAAGTTGAGGACTATTGACACGTCGGTCAAATGCTAGACCTAGTTCCTTCGGAGCGTAAGGTGACAGAAATATTGCGATACATCAGCAGAAATTTAAATCATACATCAGCAGAAATTAAATGCGAAAAGTAAACGCGATTATTAGGTTCGCGAGATTACATATGAGAAGCAGTTACAGTATAGTAATGAAATAGAACGAGATAAGTAACGGTAAAGGTAATGGGCTGCAAAATGAACAAATGGCGTTAGTAGGCAGAGTTAGGCGGTGATCAAGTGAGTTAAGAAAAAGACGCAAATTCGAGGTATTATTATTGTTTTATTTAAAAATCTTAATAATTAAAAGTTAGCTTGCACAAGAAATTTAATTTAAAAATAATTTACTCTTTTTTTTTTTTAAAGTTTTATTTTTTTGTATTTTTTTTTAAAAAGGTTTTCCTTATTTTACTTAAAAAAGAGTTTTTTCATTTTTTATATTTACAAAAAGTTTTAATTTTAAAAAAAGAGTTTTAATTTTTATTTTAAAAAAGGTTTTTCATTATTATAAAAAAAAGTTTTATTTATTTATAATATCTTCACAAAAAGGTTTTTTTTAATAAAAAACATAAATTTTAAAAAACAAAATAAATAATAATAAAAGAAAAAAAAAATAAAACAAAAAAAAAAGAGAGGTTGGGCCGGTCATCACACCCGGACCCAACCCAAACGTTAGTGAAACAGAACATTTAGGGTTCTGGGAACCCTAATGTTACACGGCGCCGCTTCGTTCTTCTTCTCATCTCTCGTCCTTCTCGCGATCGCCTTGCATCTCCTTCGCGTTCTCTTTCAATTTTTCCTGAAAAAACACATGAACATAGTGATGTAAAGCCTCCCTGGCTCACCTTTAAAGTAAACCTGGCCGATGATGTGTGCTAGCTGAGGCCGGAGGGTTTGATTGCCCGCCGTTTAAACGGCGAAGGTGATCTTCCTTCGTTCGGTGGCGCGGTTGCGGCTGTTGGAGGCGATGATGAGGCTCCGTCTCTGAGTCTCGCGATTTTCGTTCGTTAGGGTTTCTGTGCTTTGGGTGTCCTTCGTTCTCTCTCTCGCGGTTACCAGCTAGGGTTTCAACTCTCCTTCGCATCAGGTTGTATTCCCCTATTTATAATTTCTTTTATCTCTCTTTCTGGGCCTTAAACTTGCGTTATGATCCGATTTGATTTGATTTTGCATTTTTCTTCTGATATGATTCGATTGTCATTCGCTTGATTGGGAACCCTTCCATTTTCGGATTTCACACAGTTTTTGATCTCTTTTGGATTTGATTTATTTCTCTTTTGGACTTTGCAGATGTGGACTTTATTTCGATGCCCCTTTGATCTCGAACTGGTCTTTTCTGACATCTTTTGGATTTTCTTCATGGATTTGATTGGATTGTGCTGCCTCTTTTAGAACCTGATTGGGATTTTGACGCGATCATGGTTTCATCTGACATTAATTTGTTTGACTGATCTATACTGATTCATTTGATTTCGAACCGATTCGTTTTTGACTGACTTGTTTGATTGATTTGTTTGATTAATTTGTTTGATTGATTCAGATTGGTTCATATTGGTTCAGATTGGTTCCAATGGAGATGTTTCCTGATGCATTTGGATCTGACTCGAAACTTCCCTTTCCAGATTCGATTGTGTTTGGTCATTTTCTGATGTGGATTGGGTTGCCTTTGAATTTACTTGATCTGTTCGATATCTGGATTAATTTGTTTGTCCTGTTTGAATTCAATCTGGACTGTGCTGATGCGTTTTCGATTTGTTTTTGATTTTCTGGTGCAGTTAGCTTTTCCTCTTCTTCTCTCAGAGAGGGTTGATGCTACGACTTCGGTCGAATCAGAATTGCCGGGAAAGGTATACGACAATGATGATTCCGTTCTGAGCCTTCGAGGGATGTTTCTTCGACGAAGTCACGGTTGCTTCTGATGATCTTCGCGTGTGGTTTATCACTTATTCCCTTTGAGTTGTTTTAACTTTTGATTCTTGTGTTTCAGAGCTGATACTCTGGGCAATTGTGTCCAACTATGAATGCTTAATGTTGCCTCGATACACTTACGCGATAGTGAGTTTGGGCGATGATGATTTGGATTATGGTGTTTGGTTAACCGAGCCATTTGTTTGTTTCATGAACTGAGTATGGCTTGGTAACTTGTTTCGGTGACTTGTTTGTTGGGGCAATGATGTTTATGACTGAGCCCCATTCTGCGCTATGCCTTGTGCTGCAACTTGGTGCCCATCCTTGTGACTTGCCATTCGTGAGGCTTGCCCCTTAATTGACAGCCTTTTGGTACAGCGTTGCAGCTTGTTACAGCTTTATTCTTCTGGCTTTCTTTGTATTATCTGCTGCTACCTTTTCTTTGGATCTTGTTATGACAGACCTATGAGATATTTTCTTATGGCTTCTTGCGCATAAGTCTGCCTTCTGATGCATTGTTTAGTTGGCATATGGTGTTCTGTTTGCAATTTGATGCGGTTTTGGCTTGTATTTCAATTCTCTTGTCCTGTTCAGGATTGCTGCAGTTTGACGCCTATGGCAACTTA